CCCACCTCCAGCCCAGGCCCCCCCCCCCCCTCTGAGAAGTGCCCAGTGCCGCCTCCAGCCTCAGCCCGCAGCAGCGGCCTGCCTTCACCCCGCGCACAGAACTGGGGGGCACATGCCTGCCATGCCTCCCCAGGGGTGTGCCCAGCAGTAGGAGGAACCCCACCCCCCACCCCATGACCCCAGACAAGCTGCTTATGGCTCCATCATGTGCCCCACCATGGCTGGGCAGTGCTTGCCCCTCTCCTCCCTCACTGTGAGAGCCTTGATCTGCCCCTCCTTCCGCTCCTTCACCCCGCAATAAACTTACCAGCTGGATGCTGCTTTAGAAGCTGCTGGGCTGCATAACAGCAATCGGATTAATATCAGCCTCAGCCATTGGTGTTAGCCCTAAAAATCTTTATTGGTGCGCCCCTATCCACAACTTCTGTGGGTGCCCTATTCCACTGTTTTATTACCCTTCTAGTGAGAGAGTTTTTCCTAATATCTAACCTAAACTTCCCTTGCTGCAACTTGAGACCATTGCTCCTTGTTCTGTCATCAGCCACCACTGAGAACAGGTCAGCTCTATTCTCTTTCAACCCCTCCTTCAGGCAGTTGAAGGCTGCTATTAAATCCCCTCTCAGTCTTCTCTTCTCTAGACTAAATAAGCCCAGTTCCCTCGGCCTCTGCTCAGAAGTCCTGTCCCTCAGCCCCCTCACCATTTTTGTTGCCCTCCGCTGCACTCTTCAATCTGTCTACATCTTTTCACTCTCTCTGACTGGTTTTTCTGTTTGTATTTTGGATAGTTGCTGGGATGATACACAGTGTTGCTTATATCATTTTTTACTAATGCTGGCAATGACGTAGCAGTGGTCTTGCTGTTTTCCTTGTATTTTCTTGTAGTAACAGGTGTTTTCTTGTACTGAAAGTAGGAGGCAAGGACTGACCAGTGTGCACGATGTTTTTGTACCTGTTAGTCACACATTTCAGATCTTGCAGTGGCTGGGTATTGGGGAGTGGTGTGAAAATTCCACTTTTCTGTTCCACAATTTCACTTTGTAACTGTTACTGATACAAGATACAGTGTTGGTAGCTGACCAGCAGACTTGGGTTTGTGGAGTGGGATGGGGAAGGAAAGTGCTACTCTGGGACTTATTTTAGGGTGTGCTCTTGTCCTGTAGGTCTGTACATATGAGCAGGGAGAGAGGGGAACTACAGGCAACCCCTGCTTAGTGCTTTTAATTGGTTCCGGAAAAACCGAGCCCTAAGTGAAACAGCGTTAATTGAAATCCATTTCCCCATTGGATTTAATGTAAATAAAGATAATTGGTAACGCACCACCTGCTGACCCAGGCCCCGCGCTCCTGCAGCGCGGACCCTGCACTCCTGCTGGCCCTGGCCAGGCTGCTCCCAGCGAGGCACCATGTGGGTTCTTCCAGGGAAGGCATCAGCTCCTCCTGGCCTCATTTTCCCCCCACCGTGATGGCGCCTGCTGGCCTGCACCCGCTGGCCTCCAGTGCACCTGTGCATGGCCTTAGCCACCCTGCCCATGGGGCCTGAGTTGGGGACCCGCCTGCCCAGGGATTTATGGTGAGAAGGCAGCAGGGCTCTGACGCAGGGTAAGTAGTGGTATCGCCCACCCGCCCACGCCCTGCTTTGCCCACCTGGGACACCTTCCAGGGCACCTGGCACTGGGACAAGCTGCTACCACCAGATTGCGGCATGGGACCTCTGTGGGCTTGGCTTGCACTGGCCCAGGCCCTGAACTCTTGCTGGCCCAAGCCTTGGGCTCTGTGCTCCTCCCCGCCTGCTGGCTGCTCCAGTACCATGTGCCGGAGTGGACCCTGAGCTCCTGCCACCTCACCCTGGGCCCCACTGCCTTGGGCTCCAGGCTCACACTGCCTTGCCCCTTCTGACTGCTACTGCTCCTCCCTGCCTGGAGTGGACCCCAGGCTCCTGCCATCCCTCCCTGGGCTCCTGCCAGCTGCCACTTACCACTTCCCTCGATGCTGACGCCAACGCCACTGCTTCTCCCTGCCCCTGCACTGAGCGCTATAATGAAACACGCTGAGCCCTAAGTGAAACCAGGTAGGTATTTTAAATTAGTGCTATAATGAAACCAGGGTAAGCAAAACCACGTTAAGGTGTGGTTGTGTGTAGTTCATTCAGACCTCTTCCTTTGTGGGAGGCTAGGGCCAGCGGTTGTGGTAGACAGCAAGTGGTGCAGTGCAGATAGGTCTGCACTGTAACTGGCTCCTACTTTATGGTAGAAGAGTTGTGGTATTCTCTTACTCTGCTTTCCAGACATGTGCTGCCAGCGAGCATAAGCTTGTCTGTAACTGGTAAAATATTATGCCTGTCTGCCTCCTAACGTTGAATGGCTAGTAAGTCTTTTATTATAAAGCATAGCAAATGCTTCCAATTTGTTAAAGTCCAAAATTAACCCTGAAGTATCCTGTTTCTTAAGCTAACTCTACCGAATAGTAGTAATTTACATGTGGTGTAAGAACACCCCCAAACCTTGCAGCGGTCCTGGCCATCTGCACATTATTATACTTCCAAGTTTTATAGCTGTGCCCGTGATCTTAACTCCCTGCAGCTGTGGACTGATTCTTATCAGATGCAATTAAGTGCTATTACAGAATTTACGTGGAAGGTCATATATGGCCTCTTCATAGTGGGACAATTCTTCCTACTATCAAAC